ACAGGCTCCTTAATGTTTTAGTACCTTAGGGCGAGTGTCGCTACTGTATGGAGTTTTGAAATGATGTTATGTCTAAACCTTCAGGATAATACAATGGAGTACAAAATGAAATAAACACACGTCTTAGATCTAAGGAGGCCTAACTAAGTTGCTTCGTGGTGCGCCTACACATGCATCTACGAAATAAAAAGGACAAGACACCTAAAGAAACGGATTAGTAATGATTGGGACTCACCTCACTACACTCCCCCTGATTGCTCTTCAATATCTAGAGCCCATGATTAAAATTCATACGATACGGAAGTCTCCCAAAAATTAGGATTTTATGTAGTGTATTTAAAATAGTTTATAAATACTTATAATATAATATATATTTTGAAAAATAAAATCATTATAATAGTAAGTCAGTTCGTAATAATAGGTATAAGGAGACCCGCTGATCACCAATCGGGTTCAAACGGTTTGAAATAGGTTTTGTATCCTGAAAATAAATATCATAATTAATTTTATAAAAAAATCGAATAATCGAAATCCAAATACATGATAGGTTAAAACAGCAAAATCAAGGGCTGGAATGGTTCCAAAGCATAAGTTTCGCTTTTTTGAAAAGAACAGGGTTACTTCGCAAAAATGCGATTTTGAAGAGCGGAAGATAATGAATTCTTCGAAGTTTTAAATATAAATAAAATAGTATTTTAAAGTAGGTAGATTTACTGTTTTTTGTAATAACGCAAAACTTAACAATGCTATTGTTATCTGAAAAATAGTTTTCAAAATATGCAGAAATTCAGAGTACAAAAAACAAGGTGCTGTGGCGTCGACAGCGCGACTTAAAACGACAAATTTATGGTAATTTCAAAGTTTGAATACGATACTAATTATTTTAAAATAAGCATTTGTTGTTTTGAAAATACTGAAACAACAGCCTAAATTTTCAGATAAAACTCCCAGAAATGCGACGAATCCTAAAATACGATCGAAACAATGGTGTTGTGTGCGTCAAAATCGGATTGAAAACGAGAAAGATTGGATTTTTGATTTTAAAGACAATAAGCGGGCTATTCTTTTCATTTTTTTAATAATATATAATACAATAATAATAATATATAAAAACATGAATAGAACTAAAATACAGTATTAACTAAATAATAAGTAGGAAATTTCATAATAATATATATATTTAATATAAAGGTTAATTACTTAGTCTATATATGTAGCGAACCTGAAATATTAAATATAATATATATAAGGTTGTTACTGTTTTTAATAATAAATAAAGATCTTATTCTTATATATTAAAATTATTAGAGTAGCACGGACGACGATACGAATCGCATAGGGCGTATTATGTATCGCGAATCGGCGAAGAAAAACGGAATTTTTGGCGTATTGTTTAATTTAACACAGGCAGTATTACTAGTGGACTACACCATGTCTTAGGTATTAGTTGTAGAAGGGGGGTGAATAATACGAAACACGCGGCGTTACGTGTGAACGTGGCGGCTACCGGAATGGCTCCCGGGTCCAGGCAATCATATTGCGATGATGGCTTGTCCCGCAATCATACGTCTGATGGATTAAAGGCGCGCGACAGGTGTCGCGCGGACATGGATCCCGCGGATACGGAGGCGGCGGCGGCGGTCAAGTGACGTTGGCGTCACTTAGCCCGCGGACAACGCTCCTACGCGTCGATCGCCGCGTGGGAAAGGCTCAACGGTTCTGATTGAGCCCGGACGAGACCAACGCGACGGGATCAGGATCCGAGCGTTCCGAACGGGGACGACAGATCCCGACCGCTGATCCGCGAGATCAAACGGTCGGATTCAAGCCACTAAACGAACGAAAACGCATCGTCCGATAACCCTAATTCGTTTTTCGGCTTCGTTTCCTCGCTGATAACTCAACACAATCAGTATGAAATTTTAACCACAGATTTTAACAATTGAGAGCATTAATTGGGGGCTATCTTTCGAGACAAATATGCAGTATAAAAAGTTATTTGATTAGGTGTTCTATCTAGGTTGAGTTTTACCTAATCACACGGTGTTCAGGAAATCTTGGTCTTGTTGGACTCGTGGGATCCTCCTAGAACATTCCTTTGATCCAACTCCTAACGACCTCGATCGGACGGGTAGAAGTTCGGGCACGTCCTGTGCCGCTCGGTTTCGGCCGGGAAGTTGACGTCCGCCGGTGGCTTGGGGTCGTCGGGATTCGCGCTTGGGGAAAGTGGGGAGAGATGTGGGGCGCCTCACAAAATCTCAGAGCCTGAGATGGTCTCTAGAATCGTGCAAGAGCAAAAGATTCCTCCAAAAGAACCTAATTTTGGGTATATTAAGGCTCCTTAATCCTATGATCAGCGGTTAGGAGAAAAATCTAGATGAAATTTGGAGGGAAATAGCTCTTTTAGGTGTGGGATTTTGGTTTTAAAACGAAGAGCATTTGATTACATATAAATCAGGCTCATAAATCTCTTCCCCGCCCTAAATGGCATAATCACACCTATTTAAGACTTGATTGCCAAGTCAAAGCTCGACTTGGTCAATTCAGTCAAGCAAGTCAATGGGGAGGTTGGAGATAGCCATGAAAGGGTTTGAATTATTTAAAAAGCGTGATTTGAGCTCTTAGTCAACTTGGGTCAACCCGGGTTGACCTGGTCACCAAGGTTGACCCAAGGCCCTAGGCCCGGGCTCGACAGACTCAGTTTGACTCACTGAACTATTGGAGAAGAGGTCTTGGGTCTGACTGTTCAATTTGACCACAGTCAACCCTCCAAGCCAATTCTGGCATAAATCGAGGTCAACACTGCTTTCAAGTCTCAGGACGCAAACTGACTGTTATCATAATCCATCAGTTTGCGGGGGTATATTAGGCAGATAGGATTAAATATATTTGTATTTCTGTATTGCGCCTGTATACAACCACTATTGTAAATCTATAAATAGAATACCTGTACGCGTATAAGAGTAATGAAAACATATTTTCTATTTCTAAAATTCTGTGTATGCTCTGCTTCTATCTTTTCTCAATTCTCTTTTCTTTTCGTTCATCAATAGTTCAAGAATATTATCTTGACTTCTAACAGGTTTTAGAGAAAATTCCAAAAGAAGGTAAAATTCATGGACGCAGCCCAATTGAAATGATTCGCACTATTAATTTGAAATGTTATAGATGTTACAAAATTGACCCGTCTTCAGGGCGGAGCCAGGATTTTTTTTGATGCTTGGGCACAATCATTAATGTAGAAAAAGAATCCTAAACTTTTTTTCGTACGGGCTTGAAACTAGCATTGAGGATTTTTTTTTTTAAATTGTTTTAGTTTCATTATAAAAAGATAAAATTATGATAAACACAAAAACTTATAATTATATATATATATATATATATATATATATATATATATATTATATATTATATATATATATATATATATATATATATATTATATATATTATATATATATATAATATATTTATACTGCCAGAATCTTATTTTTTGACCATGTACAGTCAATTATTGTCATGCTATTAATATATCATTCTTATAGTTTTTTTCACATGGTCAGCTCATTTAATCATAAAAGGTATCTAAATTCAAACACTATTTTTCAACATATTCGCTAATAAATAAAGCAGGAATTGAATCAAAATACATTAATTAGCTATATAATCATTAAATAATAATATTAAAAAAATTTGGACCACATCCTTGGTTTTAAAAATTATATGAAATTTTTTCATTTAATTATAAAATTATTTTAACTCAAATAAAATTTTACTATTAGTTTTTTTAATTTAATTTAATTTCACAAGTTAAAATAGAAATCTAAAAAATTGAACTTTTTTGAAAAAAGAATGATAAAAAAATACTATAAAAATTCATTGGTTTATACATTTCTAGTTCTAGGTCCACGGAAGTGAGGAGAGAGAGAGAGAGAGAGAGAGAGAGAGAGAGAGAGAGGCTATTAATGGATGAGAGAACTCAACTTCAACGGAATGGTTTTCATCAATTTTTTTGCATTGTTTGCTTGCATATGAAGAAGTTACTGGAGAAAAATTATTCCGCCCAGTGGGGGCACGTGCCCCCAGTGCCCCCACCCTGCCTCCGCCCCTGCCCGTCTTAAAACTCGAGGACGATGAAATTATAATAATTTGGAGAGTTGCGCGGAGATTCGACATCAATCAGTTGTCGGACGGAAGTTCAGCATTGGTCCGTGGTCGGGCAGAACTTTGGCGTTGGTCGATGGATGGGCAAAAGTCCGGCGTCGGTTGGTAGACAGGTAGAAGTCTGACGCCTGTCGGTGGACGAGCAGAAGTCAGGTGTTGATCGATGGCCTGGAAGAAGTCTAGCGACGAATGGTGGCAGGCAGAAGCACGACGACGGTCAGTGGCCTAACAGTGGTCGAGGAGAAGTTTGATGACAAGAGAGATCAAATTTCTCTTTCTTCTTTCTCTTCTTTTCCTCTCTCCCTCTTTGTGAAGAATGGTAGGTCTACTTATAATTTTGGGACTAGCATGGTTAATAAATAGAGATAAAATCAAAGGCATATTGAGAGTGTTCGAACGGCCAATATCAACTCCCTTGATCATAGACTGTTTATCATGCATTTGAGTGTCTTAATGATGTCAGAATTCGATGATTGGGTTAGTTAGATTCGTCTCGTTGAGCCGCTCGCTTCGACTATAAACATGGCACATTTTGAAATCATTTGGTCATCAAAATTATGCTTTAAAGCCCAAACATTCTTCGTGTCCTCGATTTGGACCCATTTGGGCTCGGATTAGATCGAATTTGGTGTCGTTAGGTTCGTCTTTTTGAGATGTTTAGTTCAATTATAAGTTTGCTAAAAACGGAGCTCGGATGGTCTCAAAATTAATTTATGAAATTTGTAATCAAACTTTGCCTCGAGATTCATTCCTGCCTCAATCAAGATAACTAAGGCAAATTCACACACACATATATCACATACATAAATTTCGAAGTCAAAAGTTCTTTCAAATGTGTAAATTTTGAAATCTGGAGCAGGGGTCTAGATTAACTAGCCAGCGGGCTTTATTGAATTTAGTTAACGAAAATTTTTTATGAAACTGAAGGACCCATGACACCGACTCCCACGGTCTTTGGCTAATTACCTCTTCTTACCTTCAAAGAATTACATTACAGAAGTTAAAAAATCCAGTCGGTACTCGGATCGAAGGAGCAATGGAAAAAGGACCACAGAATCGGTCTAAAAACCTTAGTATATCCTGTCGACCTGTTCTAGCCCAAATCTTCCCCAAGAAACAGTCATAGGAACGAACATAGGAAAGTATGCATATTGACAGCACTCACTTGTTGGCAGGCCCGGCAACGTTCTTAAAGATCCGCTGGGCAGCAGCCATGGCCTCCACCTCGTCACCGATATCCGACTCCCCCGCCTTGACGAGCTCATCCACCGTCCTCGACACCGTCGTCAGCCCAGTCCTCATCACGTGGCCCACCAGTCGCCGCACGCTTCCCGCGCTCACCCTCGCTCTGCTCAGCCGACGCAGCCTCTCCATATCCAACCTCCCCGCCATCGACTTCGTCGCCGTAACCACCCGTCTCGGCCTATCCCCTCCCCCAATCTTCCCCTCTTCGCGATCAATCGGATCGCCGGAGAGCGCCTCGAGTACATAATGATGGAACACACTCTCCTTCATCCTGTCAAAGAACGTTGCCACATGAAAAGAAGACGCAAGCACCTTAACGAAGATGATCTTGATGAGCCAGATCGTGCAGGCGACGAAGACGGCGACGAGCCCGCGGGAGATGCGGTGGAGCAAGACGCCGGTAGAAGATGCGTCGGCTCGATCTGGGTCTAGTACTAGGTACCAAGCCAGAAGAACGAGGCCGAGCCAGACGCAGCCGCGGACGCTCTTCCGGAGGCCGTAGACGAAGTAGAGAACCTTTTCCTGGAGAAGAAAGTGGCGCTCGATTAGGAAGACGGCGATCCATACGAGCCAGCCGGAGATGAGTCGGCCGGAGAAGATTGACATCACGACGACGCACCAGTGCCAGATCTTAACGCCCCAGAACTTTCTATGGCGGAGGGATTTGAAGAAGATGACGGAGATGAGGAGTGCGGCGGGGGGGACGAGAGCGAGGGCTTCAGCGGCGGCGCGGAGGCCAAAGCTGCAGCGGCGGCGAAGGGGGCTGTCGGGGAGAAACTTGTCGGAGAAGGTGCCATCGTCGTCGTCGGAATCGGAGTCGGAGGAGGGGATGGGATCAGCGGTGGGAAGGGAGTGAGATTTTTTGGGGGGTCCCGGTCGGGGAGGGCAGTTGAGCTCCAGAAATCGGGATTTGGGCTTTGGGACAGGAGGGGCGGGTACCGGCCGAAGCTTCGCCGGCGGCGGCTGTGATGATGGTAAACCGGAGTTGGTTTTGGAAGACGGAGGTGTCATGTGGACTATCACCTCATTGGCGTTTGAGGCCTCCGAGCTTTGAGCTCCCATTACAGAGAGAGAGAGAGAGAGAGATGGCCGGAGACGACAGGAAGTGGGAAAGTGGAACAGTAGTTAAGTAGCTTCAGCAGTGAGAATCTCTGCGGGATTCTTTATAGGATTTTCATTAAAATATATATATTAAAATTGACGTAAGATTAAATTTTTTGTATAAATAGAACATTTTAACTAGAATATATTTATTTATTTTTTTAAAAAATGAATATAATTTAATTTTTAAACAACATCATATTTAAAATTTTATTATTTTATATTAAAATTTGTGCATTTATAGAGACGCATTTAAAATAATGGATTTACTTTTAAGGAAAATAAAAATTTAGATACGTGAACCCCTCGTTTTTCACAAAACCTCACAAAGTTATTTCGTCAAATTTATAAAATTGCCTAATGATTGTTCTTCGTGAAAGCTGTGTTTTAAATGGAGGAGAATCCATTAACTTTTTTTTTTTTTCTAATCAATACCTAACTCTGGTTTTCGGAAATTTCTTATTATTATTTTTCAAATATAATTAGCATTTTCATGTATTTTTTCCTTGTAACTGCTTTTTTAATATTTTTTAAATAATTTTCTCCACAGAATTTTATAATTATATTAATTTTTCAAAATTACTGCCTTCTCGATGAATTTTAATATTTTAAAAACTGTTTACATCAACATAAATAAAATCTACTGAAGAAATTTTTAGTTTGTCATAATAATAAAGAATGATACTTAAAAATACCTAGTTAATCATTATTTTTAAAATATATTAGCAGAATTTTCATCTCTAAATCAAATTCTATTTTATCCTCCTAAAATCTAACAAGGTTTAATAACCCAATATTCTGCCTAAAAACCTCCTAGAAAACTTGCTTATATTTTTTATCCCCATAAACTTTAATCAAATGAAATCGAACACAATAATATTTTGGCAAAATTATAAAAAGGAGCTGATTTTATATGATAATATGCAAAAGGAGCGTAGGAACGAAAAAATTTAAAAAGGAGCTAAACCGGACTACCAAATAACATATTAGAAACCGAAAAATACTAATCCGATTTCTAAGAAACCGGAGTACAATTATATGGTTTCTATAGAAACCCGATTTTTAAAATCCGGTTTCTATAGAAACTGGATTATAATTATCTGGTTTCTATATAAACCGGATAATTATTATTTTAATAAATTGGTTTAGTTTAA